TATATATATATATATATATATATATATATATATATATATATATATATATATATATATACGTATATATATAAATATACATTAGTACACGCAAATATATATAAATATATACATTTATATATACATATATTTATTTATTTATTTATTTATTTATTTATTCATTTATTTATTTGTTTATTTATTTATTTATTTATTTATAGAGCTTGAAGGTGTTATAGCTTTGCTGGTAGTTGCTGCAAGCGAGACAGTGAGCTGCAACAGTATATTATGTTAATATTTTACATTTTTAAATTATATTATATAAATTATTTTTTTATTTATAAATTAAAACAAATAAAAATAAAAAGAAAACAAAAAAAAGAAAGAAATACAGCTGCTCTGCTGCTGGCTGTTTGGGGCTCGGCGTGGCGGCTGTGGTGTCTGTGTGTTGTGTGTGTGCAGGTGTACACTCTGAGAATAAAAAAAATGAAAATAAATGGTTTAAATGAATAAAAAATAATAAAATAATAAAAAAAAGAATAAATTTGGCGTTTGTTTTATAAAAAACCAAAAAAAAACAGAGAAATAGGGTTCATACATGTTGCATACATGTTGCTGCTGCAGCAGCAGCAGCGAGACAGCTGCTGCAGATAATACATCATTTGTTGTGTCTTTCTTTGTTTTTTCAGCCCCATATAAAATAAAAATAAAAATTAATTAATATAAATTAAAAAAAAACAAAAAATTTACTTTTTTTACAGCTGCTTTCCTCCTAATTCAACTTTTTTTTTCTGCCGTGCTGCTGCTCCCCCCTTCTTCTCTGTTTCACAACAACCTGAGAAAAAAGAAAGCATATTTGTTCCTTCTTTTGATTTAAATTTAATTTTTTTTTGTTTATTTTCTAAAAATTTATTTATTTTTATATTTTTCATCAACAATTTCTCCATACACACACAAACACCACCGACGACCACAGCAGCCTCGCTGCTCTCAGCTGCATCACCGCAGCAGCGTAAATTATATGCAACAAAAGAGTAAATTTATTTGTTTTTAATTAAAAAAAAATAATTTAAACGTGTTTCCTTTCTTGTTTCTTTCTTTTTTTTCTGCTTTTTCTCTCGGTTTCTGGGGTGTACGTACACCTCAGCAGCACACAACGGCGTGCAGCATCAACCCCTTCATGGTCAAGAGAGATGAGGATCGCATTTAATTTATTTTTTTTTGGGTTGCAGCAGCAGCAGCTGCTGCTGCTGCTGCTGCTGTTTCAGCTGCTGCAGCAGCTGTATCCTGCTGCAGCCTTTCAAGTTGGTGTGCAGCCCTCCGCCCCGAATCTGCTGCTGCAGCAGCAGCAGCTGCAGCAGCAGCAGCAGCAGCAGCATATGAAACTAGAACTAAGCCGTATCCATTCGTCCCCTGCAGCCCATCGATCAGCAGCAGCAGCAGCAGCAGCAACACGAGCAGCAGCAGCAGCAGCAGGAGCAGCAGGAGGAGGAAAACTAACAGAACTACTGATGCCTAAAGTATCAACCAGCAGCAAAGATAGTACTGGTGAGAGCTTCATCAGCTGCTGGCAAACAAAAGAAGGAAACAAAATAAAAAAAGGAGAACACCTGTTTGTTGTTGAAAGCGATAAAGCAGATGTTGACGTAGAGGCACCACATGATGGTACTTATCTATATTTTTAGTTTTTTATTTTTTTATTTTTTTTTATTTTTATTTTTGTTTATGTTTTTATTTGTGTTTATATTTATGTTTTTATTATATATATATATATATATGTATATATATATGGGTATATATGGATATATATATATCTATGTATATACACCTCACTTATATGTTCAGGTGTATGTACACCAACAGCAGCAGAAAACTTATATAAATACACTTCGTTTAGTTCTCAGCTTGTGTTGTTTATATTTATATATTTATATTTATATTTATATTTGTATTTATATTTATATTTATATTTTTAATCTAATATTCATATTTGTATTTGCTGCTGCTGTTCTCCCCCTGCTGCTGCCGTCGCTACTGCTACTGCTGCTGCTGCTACTGCTGCTGCTGCTGCTGCTGCTGCTGTTGCTGCTGCTGTTGCTGCTGCTGTTGCTGCTGCTGC